GCTGAGTCTTTTCACTGTCAACTGAAACTATCACAATATTGTGAATGAGCTATACTCCAATAGAAAATAAAAAGTTTAAATTAGAGAAAGAACTGCTTTCCAGAGGACCTATTAACATTCCTCTGAAGAATTCAAAGTCTTCCCAGAGTGAGATAAGATGTGAAAGTAGCTTGCAAAATAATTGCCAATTTGTTCCATAATATAAATTTTTCTGCAATTAAAAATGTTAGCCATATATTTCAAGGATCTTAATCTGATTTTTAAAATTTTTCTTAAGAGGCCTCACTTAGGAAATTTGCTAAAGCAATTTTTAAAATGAATTCAAGTCTTATCCAAGTCAAAATTGCCCACCAATGGGAGCTGGCTACTTAGATTATCTTGAAAACATTTAAAAATATTTCCAAAGCATTTCCAAATGATAAAATCCACTTTCTCTGACAAGGACCTACTCAGAGACAAATAACATTCTTTCTTAATTCACAGGGAGAGTTATCAGAGTTTGATTTTTTACTCTCTGGTAGTTTTGATTCAGAAGAATATTGTTACTTTTAGAACAGATGATATTTGTAAGAAAGTTTTCTTTTCCCTTTTAGGAAAAGAAGATCTTTAGACTCAATGCTCTTTTGCCTCATCTGTCATCTATTATGTGTAGACTGTTTGGAGAATTTATGATCTAATGAATCTCAGAGGCAAGATATCTTTCCTGTAAGTGGTTCATTGATAGGATAGTTTACACCCTAAATAGAGTGAACCCCAGATTACCGCACGTCTTTTCAAATAATGCATGTACTGTTACACTGCGGGATTTGTTATGATGCATTTCTGCATGCATTTTTCATTCTTTTATTTGTTCAGAAATTTCTGGCTATGGAATTTTTTGAGGAAATGAGAGGGCACTCAACTATGGACACTTGGTTCTGAAGAGGACATGAAAACTGACCACTGATCACATGGATTGACAGGTCTCTTTCTGCTTCATTATCTTTACTTAGTGTCTCAGAAGCACAGTCTGCTTAGTCAGCTCTTAATACATCATAAATTCCACTGGAATCGTTATTGTGTATAATCAGACTTTCTTTGAGATGGAGAGCCAGGACTGGTACAAGGATCTCCCTGAAGAGAGTCTAGTCTCTCTTATTTAATATTAATATCATAAACATTTGTAAAGTTTCTTGGGGCTATTTCTAACTTGTGTTCACATAATTAGTACTTTTTTCTTTACATTGGACTCTTTTTCAAAACGCTATATCATGTATCATATCTTCTCTTACCTAATTTAGTTGACTAGTCGATTTAAATATTATACAATATATTAGAAAGATTCTAAACAAGAAGGGAGCTATGAAAAAATTTAAAAACACTCCAAAATTTTAGATGCCATACTTTTAATTTTTATTCATTAGAATTTCAGTTCCTATTGGTCTTTTCCATTTCTCTCTTTGGAGTTATTATGAAAAAAAAATCACTTAATTTTGGTAGCACAAGTGACTCTTTTGTGTGTGGGGAACTACTTTTTTGAGAGTTTGATGCTTTCCTACTAATAAGAGAAGCCTCTTATATTGTTAAATGATAATCTTTCCCCTCCTTCCACTAAATGTAAGCAATGTGTGTATAAATATAGACTTATGTCAAGGCTATGGTTTTTCTAGTGGTCATTTTTGGATGTGAGAGTTGGACTATAAAGAAAGCTGAGCGCCAAAGAATTGATGCTTTTGAACTGTGGTGTAGCCTCCAGCTAATAAAAATAAATGAGAAAAAAAAAAAAAGGAAATGAACGGTGGTGTTGGAGAAGACTCTTGAGAGTCCCTTGGACTGCAAGGAGATCCAACCAGTCCATCCTAAAGGAGACGAGTCCTGGGTGTTCATTGGAAGGACTGATGTTGAAGCTGAAACTCCAATACTTTGGCCACCTGATGCAAAGAGCTGACTCATTCAAATAGACCCTGATACTGGGAAAGATTGAGGGCAGGAAGAGAAGGGCATGACAGAGGATGAGATGGTTGGATGGCATCACTGACTCAATGGACATGGGTTTGATTGGACTCTGGGAGTTGGTGATGGACAGGAAGGCCTGGCACGCTGAGAGGTTCATGGGGTCGCAAAGAGTCGGACAGGACTGAGCGACTGAACTGAACTGATAAATGTTTATTTTTCACATACAAACCCACATATATATTTCTAAAATAGATCAAATTTCCCAAAGCAACTGCATTGTCTCAGAAAAGTAAACATTCTTTAATTTTTTTTTTTTACAGTTTTGAGAAGGTTAAATTTTATACAATAGCTAATTTGTGCAAAATACTTCATAAATCAAACTGGTCTTTTTATGGCTTCTCATCAAAGATAACTCTGATTCAACTTCTTATTTGGTTTTAACCAACATTTAATCATAATTTTAAGAAGCATATTTTTATTACACTGCTTGAATTTTCAAGTGGGTAATGGAGAATCATTGAATGTACCTGAACTAGAGAGACATAAGAGTAATGATTTCTGATTTTGGTGTATATAGCTAAATAAGAGTGAGCTTCATGACAATGTTTATGGCTAAATAAGAGTGAGTATGTTGGAAAATGCTAAAATAATCATTAGAAGCCATTGAAGTTCAGTATTATAGTAGTTCAGTTTAAACATCAAAAGCCAGAAGTTGTGTGGTGGCTAAAGGACATGGGTGGAGGTCATTGTGGTTGTAGATGTGATTTGGTGTAAGAGAAATGTTGAATATTTTCTGATGGGTCTTAGAGAAAAATAACATGATTTTAAGTAATATTTATTGAGTTTCTTCTATGTACTCTGCATTGTCTTAGATCTGGGAACTATATAGTAAACAAAATAAATGTTTTTCTTTATAGAATTTACAGCTTCTAGAGTAACACAGGTATTCAAGTGGCAAAAAGTTCTGTTGAGTGTTATGGTGGAGAATCTAGTGGAATTTATGTGCATGGATAATGACAGCTGACATTTATTGATTATTTACCATATTCCAGGTACTCTCTTAACCAGTTCACTTAGGCTTTTTCCATTAAATCAGCACAGTAGTCCAATGAAACAGAAGCTGTCTCTACCACCACTATTTTACAGGATGGAACAGAAAGAGAAGTCACTTGCCCAAAGAATTATAGTTTGTAAGTAAGAATTTAAGATTAACAACACTCTCTCTAACTCCATAGCCCCTATTCTTTTCTGTGATGAGAAGAAATTGATAATCTCAGTTACTGAAATGTTACAGAAAATGACCCAGCAGGAGAATCAGGTAGAAATATCAAGTAAGTTTTTTAAAAGTATAAACTATAGAAGGAATATATTGTTGAGTTGCTAAGTCATGTCCAACTCTTTGTGACACCATGGACTATAAACCACCAGGCTCCTCTGTCCATGGGATTTCCAGGTAAGAATACTAGAAGAAGTTGCCATTTCCTTCTCCAGGAGATCTTCCAGGCCCAGGGATCAAACCTGTGTCTCTTGCATTGGCAGGCAGATTCTTTACCACTGAGCTACTGGGAAAGCCCCATAGAAGGAGTATACAACATTGCAAATTATTTCACAGATATTCTAGAGAGAGAAGAATTGAAATGAGTTACTGCAACACTTGAAAAATTTCAGATAAAGAAATAAGGAAACCTGGAAATAACACTTGAAAAATTTCAGATAAAGAAATAAGGAAACCTGGAAATAGGAGCCTTACAGAGAATATGTACATTGGGGAAATGGGAATAAAGAGGGAATGAAATAATTGACTTGTTTTTCCTTTGAGGTGAAAGTAATGAGGATATGAGAATTTACTTCAGATTTATACTGAGAGATGTTTAATACCTAAAATGAAAAGGAGTAAAACAGTGATTCCCCCAAGAAACAAAAGACAGGTCATGATCCAAGATATATAATTGCCTTATTCCCATTTATACTTATAATCTATACCCTGGGGAAAAGATTGAACAAGCTTCTAGCCTATTTTTAACCAAATGCATCACATCATCACATGCATATTAAATCTTCTGTGCCTAATCAGGTAGCAAGTGTAATAATAAAAAGGCTTATTTTTCTCTGCTGCTCAAAGGCACTGAAAATAAAATTATCAGATATTATATTAGTTAAGAAAAATTTCCAAGGAATATGTTGATTTAAGTCAGGTTGTCTCCCTTAGAATCAAAGGAATTAAGCCTCAAGAATCTGAAAATGCATTTCCAGTATCAACTGGGTAGAGACCACTGATAAGAGAACCAGCCCTGAGGTCTTCTGAACTAAGGAGGGTAAGTTTCTGAATTCAATTTACAACATATAATCCTTGTTTTGAGACGAAAATCCAGGGATCTAAATAAGTTCATTCTTTCCCATTTTGTGTAATTCAGACTCAAGTGAAGCTTGTGGGAAAATCTCTTCAGGGGATTGGTCAGAGAATATTCAGAGCCATTCAGAGACTCAAAGAGTATATCAGTCAGGAAGTCTCCTCTAAGTAGGTGGAGCTCTGTCTTCTGCCTTTGTAGCTTTTACTCTCTAACAGGGAAAGTAACTTAACCTCAGGAGGATTCTGGTGCCTTCATTTTGTATTAGAAACAGTGTTCTTGATTCCTACCAGTCAAGACTAATCTGCATTAGAAGCTGGCACCAGGTTGCTAGGAACACTGCCTCCGATTTTACTGATGAGGGAAGAGTTGAGGTGAATGAGGAAATGTTAAGAGGAAAGTTGTACAACCCTGTCCTGATCAACAGTTCTTCTCCCTTAGTTTTTCCAGCATCATCATTGCCTGTGGTCTTCCCACTATAGGCTAGCTTTGTGATGCCTTTGCTATATTAGCTTATACAAGCTATGATAAAGTGAAAGTCCATTTCACTCTGTATCATGATAATGGTAAAGGTAAATTCCACATGTCTAGGTAAGGTCTAAGCTCATGTATTTACAGTGTATACACTCTATTGTAAGATGAAATATTATGGCAAGAACTGAGGTGTTTTCTAATCTTATTATTTTCTCCTGAGTCCACAGATGCCCTTAGAGAAGTATGGCTCCTGGAAATGACTCTTTTGTGACTGAATTCATTCTGTTGGGATTAACAGACCAACCGTATCTCCAACTCCCCCTGTTTCTCCTGTTTCTAGTAATGTATGTGGTCACTGTGATGGGGAATTTGGGGTTGATAATTCTAATTGGGATAAATCCACACCTACACACCCCCATGTACTTTTTCCTCTTTAACTTGTCCTTCATAGATCTCTGTTATTCTTCTGTGTTTACACCCAAAATGATGATTAATTTCACATCAAAGAAGAATATTATTTCTTACTTGGGGTGCATGACTCAGCTTTATTTTTTCTGTTTTTTTTTGTATTTCTGAAATCTATGTGCTAACATCAATGGCTTATGATCGCTATGTGGCCATCTGCAACCCACTTTTGTATAATGTTGTTATGTCTCCTAAAGTGTGTTCCAGCCTTATTCTTGGTTCCTACTTGGTGGCATTTTCTTGTGCCATGGCTCACACTGGATGCATGCTGAGACTGACATTCTGTGATGCAAACACCATCAACCATTATTTCTGTGACATTCTCCCTCTGTTCCAGCTCTCCTGCACAAGTACCTATGTCAATGAGCTAGAACTTTTCATTGTGGCAGGTATTAATATCATTGTACCCAATCTTACCATCATTGTCTCTTATGGCCTCATCCTCACCAACATCTTCCGCATACGCTCCACAGAGGGCAGGTCCAAAGCCTTCAATACCTGCAGTTCCCACATTATTGCTGTTTCTCTGTTCTTTGGATCATGCATATTTATGTATCTCAAACCATCTTCTGCTGGGTCTATGAATGAGAGAAAGATCTCTTCTCTCTTTTATACCAATGTGGTTGCCGTGATGAATCCTTTAATCTACAGCTTGAGAAATAAAGATGTGAAAACTGCTCTGAGAAAAACTCTGAGTAGAAGACAAATTTAATTAGAAACTATCTCTCTGTGCAGTTAGTCACAGGGCAGGAATTTTCTGTGTTTAGAATAATTTTATTGACAATCTTCTTTTTTCTTTCTCACCATGTTGAAGAAAATTTGAATCTTCTCTTAATTTCTTTTCAGTTTTTATAGAGTAGTTTTTCTCTCTTTCCTCACTGTTTGCACAATTTCCTTTCCTCTTTTCCCACTTACTCAACTAGTAAGAAGAAAAGTACTATCTCTGGACTTTTTTTATTATCATTTTGAATATTTTTCTCTCTGGAAATAGAAGACTGTTCTCTAGATGATGAAATCAGGGAACATTAGACTGACACAATGTCATTAAAGATGACTTATCTGCTTGTTGCCATTGGAAACGTGAATCAGAAAATGTTTGATTTTCCTGTCTCTCTAGCCTTCACTGAGGAAGAACATTTATTTCTCCTTTAATGCCTGAGATGGAAGGTTCTATAATGACTGTTTAGTATAGCCCATTTTGCATCTGTAAACACTTCATATTATGCTTCATTTGGCAAAGGGTTTTCTTACTTTTGCACACCCAGTCCTGTCCATAATGGATTGTGAATATATATTTATTGCTTGTTTGGGAGAATAAAGTTTAATGTAGTTATTGCCTTATTTGCAGTTATATATCTTTTTAAAGAAAAAGTCTAGACCAAATATAGCTTTCTGATTTTAAGTCCACTAATCTTAGTATATTTCTGCCTCTAAAGTATATCTGAATAAGCAAATAATAATTACACAGTTTAGGAACATTTGTAGACATTGCAGAGGCCCATTTATTCCATTATATATTTTATCACTATTTGAGGTGCCAAAATTGTGTTAAAAGTTGGTCAAAAATCTTTCATTTGAGAAGCCTCAAAATAAAAATCAAACATTTCATTTTTTAAAACAATAAGCTTTCTTTAAAATTAGATTTCATTCTTTCAGATTATTTAAGGAAAAAGTAATTTTAAAATTGGCATACCATTGTAGATATTGTGTTTAGCAAAGTTTTAGAAGAAATAACCTAGTTCTCACTTTAATTATCAACTCAAGCTCTGTTTGTTTCTTTGTGTTAGTCGCTCAGTCGTGTCTGACTCTTTGCGACCCTATGGACTATACCCTACCAGGCTCCTCTGTCCATGGGATTCTCCAGGCAAGAATACTGGAGTGGATTACCATGCCCTCCTCCAGATCTTCCCGATCCAAGGATTGAACCTACATCTCCTGCATTGCAGGCAGATTCTTTACCATCTGAGCCACCAAGTGTCTATTTGGACCTCACTAAAAAAAAGGGGGGAATCAAGGTAGAGTGTTTACATGTATAACACAGAGCCATCCTTTATAGTGTTTGCTTTTCTGTGTTATGCACTAAAGAAATTATGAGAGAAAATATAAGTCTATTGAAATTGTACAGCTGAGAGTTAAACAGGCAAACCAAGTTTCTCCTGTGTCTGTGTAATAGGAGAGCTTGTCTGGTGGCTCAGATTATAATGAGTTTGACCCTTGGATTGGGAAGATTCCCTGGAGAAGGAAATGCAGCCCATTCCAATAATCTTGTCTGGAGAATTCCGTGGATAGATAAGCCTGGAAGGCTACAGTCCATCAGGTCATAGAGTCAGACGTGACTGAGTCACTAACACTTCTTTTTTCCATCCAATTCAGTGTGAAAGCATGGACTCTCTAGGCAATTATAGAAAGTAGAAAGAAAATTTACTAATTGTATTCATTGCATCCTCCACTCTTTTACACAATCTCCCTACAAACAAGCACACACAGAGATAGACATACACAGATTGCCTTCAAATCTTGTGTTTTGTGAAATCATTGCCTAAAACCTACTGGAGGGCATGCAACGCACTTGCCATCTTTGCAAGCACTTCCAGGTACGTGGTTCCTCCTTTAACCTCCTAAGAACAAGGGTTGAACTAGAAATGCTTGCTGATTTCAGGAAAAAATAATAATTATTGCTTCAACTATGCATTGTTTATGTAAAAGAAAAACAGAATAAAACACCACACACATTTTGTAACTGTGAAGAGTCTAGCACACACAAATGAAGAAATGTAAGAGACATGTATACATTTAAATTTTCATTTGCAATATAGTAGACTTTGGCAAAGGGCTCCAGTATCCTTGCTTTGGAAATCCCATAGACAGAGGAACCCGGTGACTACAGTCAATGGGGCCCCAAAAGTGTTGGTCACGACGTAGTGACTAAACAACAAACTTACATCCTACATGTGGGTAGATCCAAAAATAGATCTTACATGGTTACAATTATTCCCCAAAAGTGATTATGTCAGCAAATGTCCATGTTGAAGATAGACATGCCATTTTTCCCTTAGTCTGGCACACTTGATGTCTTCTCAATCTTTATGACATTTCATTGTATATTCATTTTAGCATCAGATGAAGTAGGTGGTTTATATGTAAGGCTTTGCTGTACAAAATATGTACCTTTGTATCTTAGAATTCCTCTCTGGGTGGGGAAGTTTTACATTCTGAGGGTGGAATTTCCAGGTCCTTCAGTGAGTGGTAGGATGATGGAGTCACCTTGGATATTTAAAGTCTCTCTGACATCAAGCTGAATTAATCCACTTATAATAATAACATAGAGAATGAATAGGGTGTTATCATTGCTCTTAGAAGTAGTGTTGTAGTTTTCTCTTCACTATTACCTCTGTCAGTATCTGTGTAACTCCTGGGAGAACTTTGAGGTAAATAGGAAAGGGGAACTTGGCTTCCATTTCCTCAGCTCAGTTCAGTTGCTCAGCTGTGTCTGACTCTTTGTGACCACATAGACTGCAGCACGCCAAGCTTTCCTGTCCATCACAACTCACAAACCTTACTCAAACTCATGTTCTTGGAGTTGGTGACACCATCCAATCATCTCATCCTCTCTTGTACTCTTCTCCTCCAGCCTTCAATCTTTCCTAGCATCAGGGTTATTTCCAATAAGTCAATTCTTCACATCAGGTGGCCACAGTATTGGAGTTTCAGCTTCAACATCAGTCCTTCCAATGAATATTCAGGATTGATGTTCTTTAGGATGGACTGGTTGGATCTCCTTGCAGTCCAAGGGACTCTCAAGAATCTTCTTCAACACCACAGTACAAAAGCATCAATTTTTCAGTGCTCAGCTTTCTTTATAGTCCAACTCTCACATCCAAACATGACTACTGGAAGAGTCATAGTTTTGACTAGATGGACATTTGTAGGCAAAGTAATGTCTCTGCTTTTTAATATGCTGTCTATGTTGGTCATAGCTTTTCTTCCAAGGAGCAAGCATCTTTGAATTTCATGGCTGCAGTCACCAACAGCAGTGATTTTGGAGCCCCAAAACTTAAAGTCTCTCACTGTTTCCATTGTTTCCCCATCTATTTGGCATGAAGTCATGGGACTGGATGCCAGGATCTTAATTTTCTGAGTGTTGAGTTTTAAGCCAGTCATTTCACTCCCCTCTTTCACTTTCATCAAGAGGCTGTTTAGATCCTCTTCATGTTCTGCCATAAGGATGGTGTCATCTGCATATCTGAGGTTATTGATATTTCTCTTTGGAAACTTGATTCTAGTTTTTGCTTCATCCAGCCCACCATTTTGCATGATGTACTCTGTATGCAAGTTATCTAAACCGAGCTTGGACATCTGGAAGTTCATGGCTCATGTACCGTTGAAGCCTGGCTTGGAGAATTTTGAGCATTACTTTGCTGGTGTGTGAGATGTGTGCAGTTGTGTGGTAGCTTGAACATTCTTTGGCATTGCCTTTCTTTGGGATTGATTCAGTATTCTTGCCTTGAGAACCCCATGAACAGTATGAAAAGTCAAAAGGATAGGACACTGAAAGATGACCTTCCCAGGTTGGCAGGTGCCCAATATGGTACTGGAGAACAGTGGAGAAATAACTCCAGAAAGAATGAAGAGATGGAGCCAAAGCAAAAATAACACCCAGTTTTGGATGTGACTGGTGATTGAAGTAAAGTGCAATGCTGTAAAGAACAATATTGGATAGGAACCTGGAATGTTAGGTCTGTGAATCAAGGTAAATTGAAAGTGATCAAACAGGAGATGGCAAGAGTGAATATCAGCATTTTAGGAATCAGTGAACTAAAATGGGCTGGAATGGGTGAATTTAACTCAGATGACCATTGTATCTACTACTGTGGGTAAGAATCCCTTAGAAAAATTGAAGTAGCCCTAATAGTCAACAAAAGAGTCTGAAATGCAGTGCTTGGATGAAATCTCAAAAATGACAGAATGATTTCTCTTCATTTTCAAGGCAACCATTCAATATCACAGTAATCCAAGTCTATGCCCCAACCAGTAATGCTGAAGAAGCTGAAGGAATGGTTCAGTGAAGACCTACAGTACTTTTAGAACTAACACCCCCCCAAAAGATGTCCTTTTCCTTATAGGGGACTGGAATACAAAAGTACGAAGTCAGGAAATACCCGGAGTAACAGGCAAATTTGGCCTTGGAGTACAAAATGAAGCAGGACAAAGGCTAATAGAGTTTGGCCAAGAGAATGCACTGGTCATAGCAAACACCCTCTTCCAGCAACACAAGAGAAGACTCTACACATGGACATCACCAGATGGTCAATACCGAAAACAGAATGATTATATCCTGTGCTGCCAAACGTGGAGAAACTCTACACAGTCATCAAAAACAATACTGGGAGCTGATTGTGGTTCAGATCATGAACTGCTTATTACCAAATTCAGACTTAAATTGAAGAAAGGAGGGAAAACCATTAGGCCATTCAGGTATGACCTAAGTCAAATCCCTTACAATTATACTGTGGAAGTATAGATTCAAGGGATTAGATCTGATAGAGTGCCTGAAGAACTATGGATGGAGGCTCATGATATTGTACAGGAGGCAGTTATCAAGACCATCTCCAAGAAAAAGAAATGAAAAAAGGCAAAATGGTTGTCTGAGGAGGCCTTACATATAGCTGAGAAAAGAAGAGAAGCAAATTGCAAAGGAGAAAAGGAAAGAAA